GCAAATGGTAATAAAGTTCCGAATATAAAAATATCAAAATATATCAGAGAATCAGAGAAAGAGAGAGAGATATAAATAAGTAGAACGATATCCAAAAATAGATAGATATGGGGGTTTCCGAAAATAGGAGACCCTAATAGAGTACCCCAAATAATAGGATCCTTATTATAAAGACCTTAAAATTTAAGGTACTCCTAATTTTCAGAAACTCCCATATAGAGATAGCCAGAAATACCGAGACAAATACAAAACGAGACAGAAAAAAATAGATAGAGATAGGCGCCAAAGAGACATAGAGAGAGAGAGAGATACAAAGAGACAAAGAAAGAGACAGAGAGAGAGATAGAGAGACAGAAAAAGAGAGAGACAGACAGAGACACAGACAGAGAGACAGACAAACAAATAGACAGACAAACAGAGAGACAGAGAGACAGAGAGACAGAGAGACAGACAGACAGAGAGACAGAGAGACAGAGAGACAGACAGACAGAGAGACAGACAGAGAGACAGACAGAGAGACAGACAGAGAGAGAGACAGAGAGAGAGACAGAGAGAGAGACAGAGAGAGAGACAGAGAGAGAGACAGAGAGAGAGACAGAGAGAGAGACAGAGAGAGAGAGAAGACAAACGGACGGACGGACCGACGGAAAGACAGACAGACAGACAGATACTGAATTTTCGCGTGCAAGCGCTGCTCCATAGCATTATATGAGAATATCCCTATAATCGATAATCCACATGAATAGATGAGGCACGATATTCCAGTATAAGACTACAAAATGGCTGTAACACATATTCTGCATTTGGAACATAAGACATTACAAGGCTTCATTCGTTCTCTCAATTTTCCGAAAATTTTCGGTGTCTAAATTTTTAGAAAATTTGGAGAAGTAATGATTGAATATTTTCCGTAAATTTCGAGACCGAGGCGTCGAGCTACCCGGATCCCCAACTTTTCCAAAATTTAACCTAGCCCGAGACCTTCGAAGAGGCCCCGCCCTCTTAAAGCTGCAGCCCGAGCTTCCAAATTATCCGGAAATTTTGGGTCCTAGGTAGGCCGAACCGGCTCGCGCGCCGTAGTTTGTTAATTTTATCCAAATTTTGAAACCTAAGCGCCCCGAAGCGTGCTAGCACCGCATAGAGCCAGTTTGGTCGTAGCGTTGTATAGAGAAGAATTTTTATTTTTTTCTGCACTATTATTAATTTGTCTTTTTTTTATTGCTTTATTTTCATTATAACTCATATTCTTAGACACACCAATTATTCTTAATTTTTATTTTTGCTTTATCTATTTTATGATTCTTTCTTGTAAATAATTATATTTTTCAATCCATTATATTATTTCATCAAATTACAGAAATATATATATATATATAGAAAAATTAATAATTTAATTCAAAATATATTCAAACATGTTATTTAATTTTTTTTATAATCCGAATATATCTTAATTAAGAAATATCAATAAATCGATAATTCGAATGATATTTACGAAATAATACAATATATATATAATTTCTATTTACCTCATATTTCAATTATTAATCGAGGCATTTCATTAAAATTTAATAGAGATCATATTAAGTCTTAATTTGAAGCTAATATATAAAAATCTAAAATAACGCTAAAATGTAATTCTTATAAGAAAATATATAAAAAAAGAAAATACAAATATATTTAACTAGTAGAATAAATAATCTAATTCCTATATCATAAAAATATAAATGTTATTAATAGAAATACCAGCCTAGCTCCTCAAAAAAGCAGTTCATTAGATATAAATCTATCCTAACGAGAATTAACAATCTAATCCCAAACTAATGTAACTAATATAATAGACAGACTATAGTCCCATTTTGATGTGTGGGCAGTGTCGTGGAGTGGCGGACGTGGGTGGGGTCGAACGACGGCGGGTCGGAGGAAGGGTCGCGGAAGGCGGGGAGTGTCGTATGACTTTGAGGGGAGTGCCGTAGAATAGCGATGGAGGGCGACTCGTCGAGCGTGCTGTGGAGTGCGGATGAAAGCATGTCGCGGAGAATATCGTGGAGCGGTGGGAAAGCGTATCTAAGATATGGAAAATTGGGTGAGAGCGGTTCGAGGGGAGTGTCGTGAAGTCGTGAGCTAGGAATGAGTATCGTGGCGTCTGGCGGCGGGATCGTAGCGGCACGAGAGAATGTTGGGGGCGGGTGAGGTCGAGTCGGGAGTAGGTGATATGCAATTGTTCGTGGACGAGGATTAATACGTCGTGGGCAGTGGAGAGAATCGTGGAGTGGCGAATATGGCTGATGGGAGATTAATTGCTTCGTGTCGTCCGCCTCGGCCCGGCTGTACTTGAAGCAGGTGCATTGCTGTGGAAAGCAACGCGTAGAACACAACCCACACAGCCCCAGAATTCCAAGGCTTAGGCATCAAGTTCACAAGAAGGCAAAAGGTGCGAAGGACACTACCCTCGACCTTCCCCTCTCGCGACACTCCCCACGACACTCACGCGCTCACGAGACACATGCCCTCGCCCGCCACTCCGCGATACGCACTCGCCTGCAACTTGTGCTTCCACGTTCCGGTCTCTAGCTGCGATGTCTGGTCGGTCCATGCGACAATGCGACAGACACGGTAAGTCCTCAAGGTACCTTACGATGCTAGAGTGCATTCATTACACACGGCATGCGTGGCATATACCAAGTGTCCAATCGCTCACTATAGTATCGAATGATATTGAATGTCGATGATATCCAATGTTTGTCGAAGCGGCGTAACGAAGTGAAAACTAAAATACAGAACAAACTTGACCGAACAGGTCGTGGCACGAAGCACTGAACTTCCCGACAGTTTGGTGCGGTACGAAACCATTCCCGGGATTTCCGGAGTTTCGTACAGCACGAGACCCCGAAATCCCGGGATTGTGAGGGCTTCGTACTACGCAGCGCGTCTGGTACAAAACCCGGAATTTCTGGGTTTCTTTCTATTTACTCGCCTTTATAATTGAAATGCAGACAGCCGCAGGCTTGCCGACGATCCCAAAATCCCAGAATTTTCGATGTTTTGGGCAAATCCGAAAGCGGAGGAAGCATGCAGTGTCTATTATTTCCCATTCACGAACAAATGATACATCAAACTTGTCCATACTACTCTTCAGCTTTTCTGCCTACGCACATGGTTGCGATCTTCCTGAAATATCAGGAAAGAGACCGCTGCATCAATGCTGGGTGAGTAGTGTGTGCTGCAGGGCCGTAGGAGCATCTCTAAAATCACAAGGTGCTTGCCGGGTGTCGCTCACCCTATGTCTGCAGAGAGCGGGCCGACGGCTTCCAGCAGCTGATTGGCTTGGCTCATCGCGCTTGCATGCCTAAGCTGCGGAGATGGCTAGCTGTGTAGGACCTGTGTATGGGCCAGGAAGCTCCGGAGTTCAGTCTCGACTTGGAAGTGTCTGTCCGTTTAGGCATGGCAAAGAGCATGCTTTGCCATTCAAATCATCCGCACTTTGGGCCCGGGCTCTGCTTCCACGGACTCCAAAGGCTCCTCCTCAAAGGAGGGGCCTTCCGTGGCAAGAGCCTGCAGAGTTGGGAGGGTGGATTTTCGATCCAGAAAGCTACCAGTGAGTCCTGAAGACTCGAAAGATCGCTGATGTGACGTGTATTCGGCATCCTTTTGGCAAGGCGGATTTGCACTGTGGGTCCCAGAATGCACCCGTCCGCAAAGCAACTTAGCTTGGAGAAGCATAAGAAGCACGTTTGCATCTGTGTTGAGTTCCATGCAAGCCTGCAGCCGATCGCAATCCTCCGACAATTGACGTAGCTGCCTGGCAGAGAACATCAAGGAACACAGCCCATGCATGCCCACGTTGCCATTCTGTGTCCTTGAGACCTCGCATGGCACCTCCGGCTGCATCCGCATTTACCTTCCTATGACCTGGCCTGCTGCAGTTCTATGAAGACAGAAAGAACAAACAGCCAGATCGAAAGAGAGAGAAGAAGTTAATTTACACATTCTGTGACTCTCGGGTGCAAGTGATGCGGCTGCAGGAAAAGACAGTCAGCCAGGCTTTCGGATTTCGGCCAGCTGCTGAGGCAGTCTTGGGGCCGCTTTGAGCAGACTGGCGCCCTGCGGATAGCTGTGAGCAACGCTCTTTGCCAGGCTAATCGGCTAATCGAGCAAGCACCGATCATGATGCGACTTCGCTTGCATTTCGAGCAAGTAAACAAACGCAGGGACCGACTCTTGAATACACAGGCCATCACAGGCCAGTGACAATGGCCTGCTCTTTGGGTGCCGAGGTGGGGCCAAGCTCCACGACCTCACTCAAAACACCAGACAGTTGTGCAAAGATTGAGAAACATCAGCCGCACATGATTGACTTACGCAGATCAGAAGCAGTTGGAAGTTGAAAGCACCAATCAGTGAGCCGACAGGCACGGAATTGTGTACTATTTGACAGCAACGACATACAATCCTTCCCTGGCGCCCTACGTATGCATACAATATATCCGATCCCCAACCAGGGCATCCAAATACGGCGACTTGGCCGGCGGCTCCGCTTTTTTCCGGGCTCGCGGTGCCGAAAGCCAAACGTCTGACGCTTCCTTGCGCAGTAAAAGAAAGGTCTGCTTTGAATCAGGATGGCAGCTGGCACAGAAGCCCAACAGCTCCCTTGGGGAAGCCTCGGATCAACTTGTCGACGGCCTCGTCGAGCTTCATGACCAAGTCGCTGTCCTCGAGCTCACTCCTCGATCCTGAACTCCGTTTCGACCTTTCTGCTTGTCAGGGCCGAGCCCCAGGCTAAGTCAGTCTCCTCCGATGAGTGGCGTTCTGTGGCCGGAGACCCTGTCCTTGGTGACAAAACGGCAAAGCTTCCAATCCAACTCTGGGTGTCTTCTTCCGCTTCTTGCAGCTCATGTCAAAGCAGAAGAAGAGACTGAAAGTTTTCAGCCCTTGCGGCTGACATTATCGCTTGTAGATGCTGGCTTGCTTGGCCCCGGGCTGAGGAACGCAAGGAACGGAGATCAGCTTGCTCGCCACTGCCTCTAGGCGGTGCATGGACACTCGGCAGTTCCCGGTCTCGGCTTGAGTTTGCCGCAGTACCAAGCATGAGCTGCTTTAGACAGACTGGGCACTGGGCCTGTTTGGGCGGAAGAGGTTGATGGACTGTGTTGGCGCGCCCGGCAGCCTGTCGTCCAGATTCGCCTGTGCGAGTTAGACGGACCAACCATTTTCAATGGATCACCGGTGGATTACCTGCCTCTACTGCGTTCTGTAGATCTGGACGTAATTTCCTTGGGCGGGCTGAGCCTTGGCGTTTTTGCGCCGATGAACTTGATGTCTCCGCTGGCTTATCCCGAACTGGCTGCCTCTGCTGGCTACCCAGCAGTGCGCTTCCGCTGCGGACCACTTCATTGAAACCGTCCTGTTGCCTGGCAAGGTTATGGCATGTTCTGGCATGGCAAACGGACCGATAGTAGGATGTATGAACTTCCGGCCAGCCTCCGTGGACGAGGCCAAGCCTGACACCAAGTTCGTGTCTTCGTGGACTACGCGACTTGTCAGGTCGCAAAGACTACGATGGGTGGCTTGCAGGCAACACCACGTAGAGTTTGGGATAGTCAGGACAACTTTGGAGATGTTGGTTTCTTTCAGGGTGCGGCGGGTCATGGCGGGGCACTTTTTCCTTGCTGTGGCACGTCCTTCCTTCGCTTGGTCTGGCTGGCCTGGCTGGATTTGGCCTTCGTGTGCAAGCCGTGGGTTCTCGAGTGTCGTGATTTGCGGCCAACGCTTGGTGAATTGCAAGTTGCGCTATTCAGAAACTGCAATTTGCAGGCTCGTGTGTATCGGTGAGCTTAGGGCTTAGTGGGAATTGCTCACTCGAGTGATTCCTTGACTTGGCCTGCATTTTTGGCCAAGCTCAGAGGTAGGTAGCTTGCCGGACAACATGACAGCAAATTGCTTTTTCGCATATTTACCAATCGTCTGCGCAAATCAGGATTCTCGAGAACCCACGGCTCTGCACGGAGGCCCAATCTTGGCCAGGCCGAAAGAAGGACGTGCCACGGCTGGGGGAGAAAAGCGCGAGGGAACAAAGGCCCACGAGACCAGGGGGCCGGTGGACCGAAAACGTCCCGCCACAGCTGGCGCAAAAACACGGGCCCTCATAATAAGCACAGACAAAACCATTCAGGATGATAAACTTCTTGGCGGCCTGAACTTCGGCAACGTGGCAGACTCCGAGGCTTTGCTCAATCTGGCCTTACATGGCAGGTCCATCAAGAGGGAACCAGCTCGACCCGAACGAACTCGCTTTATGCCATGTTCTGTCATGTCATGCATCATTGCATTCGTTCATGTCGGCCCTGCTCTTCTCAGCCGTCGGCACAGCTGTTCCCGCAGCGACTCGCATCCAGGTGAAGCGGCCATGACTTGACTGGTTCAGCATGCGTCGTGAGGCTCGCCTGGACGAATTGGGCACTTAAGCCTCTAGGCCTCTAGGCACAAAAAAGCTCGTTCTTGCTCTTGAGACCGGGTTTCGAACCTGCTGAAGATTCGACCACCTATTTGTGCCTGGATTGCTGCAAGCTGAAGACATGCTTGCTTGGTATCAGTCTCCTCAACTTTTTCTGAGCATCAGCAGGAGTCGCGATTGCAGGAGCTGATGCTTGCACACATACAGACTGCATGGATGCTGTGCGAGCTCGAACTGCAGTTGCTTTTTCCGCAATTGGGGCCGTTATCCCAACCTCTGTCCCTCTCCGCTGAAGGGCACGAAACCCCTGGCGGGAAGCTTTGGGATCAAATCACACGCCTGAGATTGAAGCATCCGAGTTGTGTGCCGTATGAACATCCAAACGTTGATTCAGTGCCCCACTCTCCATTTTCCCTGATCCCCATGCTACCCGAAACCTGCACAAACTCCTATCCCCAAGCACGACTGATTTGCTAGTACATGTAAATATATTGTATCTATCTAGATCTACCTACAATTTCATACACACACACAGAGATATGATGTATGTATGTATGTATCCATATCTCCCTCACTTCCGGACCCTTCACGGCTTGGGCCTGTTGCTGGCTCTCGAAGCTGAGGAAGCTGGACCCTCGGGAGCCTCGGGGCGGTCAGGCATTCAGCAATGATTTGGCCGGAGTTTTGCAGGTTTGATGTTCCGTTTTACGCAAACTTCCGACGGGGTCAAGCACAGCGGTTTTTTGGTTTTGTCTTTTGAGAAAGCCTAAGACGTGCAACAGCATGTCTACGTTTAGCAGCAACAGCCCGAATGAGCTGAGGCAATAGCCGCAAAAGCATCAGCATCGACAGTCTCATCATCAGTAGGACAGAGGCCATACTATGAGAAGCACCATGCTGCGGTCATTGGCCCCTTTGCCTGTTCTATCTGGTCGAGGACTCCGGGGCTGTCTACGTAGCGGAAGTGGGTAAAGAAAAGAGTTGGTAGTGTAAGGGACGCTGGTGAGAATAAGAATGGAAAGAAAGTTCATGTCTCCGGTTGGAGGCTCGAGCAAGAGATTAGCCACCAACCGCCGTAGCAGTCAGCAGATTGTCCTATGCAACAAATTCGCTGCGCTCACATGTTGCTGCGCGACATGGCTTCGTCTCGGCCTGGGAGGAAACCGTCCGTCTGACAAGCACTATTCCAGTCAGCTTTATACACGTCAGGTGACAGAGCATCACCCATGTTTCGGCTGTCTTCGTTGTTGAAACCGATGTAGTATCACTAGCTCATCCCATTCTTGCTGCTTCCTGCAATTCCATCATCCCATAAACCCACACTTTCTTGAGGTGGCTGGTTGTCGTGGCCCGCTGTCTAGAGCTATATCCTACATCTTCGACAGATGCGCCACCCATCCATCCCCTAACCCAATAGCCACCAACAAAGACAAACTGTTCCAGGACTCCGGCCACTGCGCCAGGGCGCGGCAAGTCCGCGGCCCCGGGCGCTGAGGCTCGCAGGCCATCCCCAGGCTCCCCTGGCTTTCGGGCTTCTGACACTTGCAGGCTCACGGATGCATCTGCTTTTTAGGCCTTTAGGGTGTGCTCCCTTGCGATCAGTCTGTTTCGAAAATGGAAGTTCTAGGTTTTGAAGACGTAAAAGGTTTCACGGTTTTGAACCGCTTTGTGATGTCTAACGATTTGGCTTGCTAACGGACTACTGAGGTTTGGGGCCTTTGGGCTACATCAGTTTTGCAGCAGCCCAAAATCTCTGGACATTCGACGCTCTTTCTGAAACTTCAAGACTAGAAATTACCATGTGCCACTGCCTGGTGGGGATTCGAGATTCTTACTGGGCCGTCAAACTAACAGGGAAGACAATACTGGTGGTCTTTTTGTCTTGCTAGTTCCGAGGTTTTGTCATGCGGGCAACCCCTCTTTTATCGTCGTAATAGTAGTAGTAGTAGTAGTAGTAGTAGTAGTAGTAGCAGCAGCAGCAGTAGTGGTGGTGGCGCTGGTGGTAGTAGTGGCAGTGGCAGTGGCAGTAGTGGCAGTAGCAGTAGCAGTAGGAGTAGGAGTAGTAGTAGTAGTAGTAGTAGTAGTAGTAGTAGTAGTTGTAGTAGTAGTAGTAGAAGTAGAAGTAGTAGAAGTAGCAGCAGTAGCAGTAGCGGTCGCGGTCGCGGTCGCGGTCGCGGTCGCGGTGGCGGTGGCGGTGGCGGTGGCGGTGGCGGTGGCGGTGGCGGTGGCGGTGGCGGTGGCGGTGGGGGTGGGGGTGTGGGTGGGGGTGGGGGTGGTTGGCGCGGATGTTGCAGGCGGATGCTGCAGGTCGTTTCGCTGCTATAGGGGAGGATGAAGAGGAGCGGCAGCAGCAGCAACAGCAGAACACAGTATCTGCATCCTCGTTTGAAAGCTCGGCTCTGAACATTGACGGAACATCTTGCATCCTTGTGGAGGTATCTCGACAGCCCTCTGACGGAGTCGATCGATTCACTAAGTACTACGTGACATGGTGGCAAGCTTCGGCTTTAGTAGATTGTCCGGGGTACCGACAGCGTGTAGTAATCGACCTTTTTGAGGGGGGAGAAGCTTTGAGGTTTGTGTGGTGTCTCCAACCTGGGTCGTCAGCTTCTCTGTTTACCTGCATAGCAACCATGATCTCTACTGGGAGGTTCATGGGTAGTTATAAGTGGGGTTATAAGTAGGGTAACTATACTTATAACCCATATCGGGGGACTTATAACCCCACTTATGACTACCCATGAACCTCCAAGTAGGCTCTTGTAGCAACCCTAAACCCTAAACCCTAAACCCTAAACCCTAACCATGATCTCCAGACTCCCAAGCTCTTGGGCCAAGGCTCGTCCTCAGCAATGTCCAAGCGACCTTTGGGGTGAACGTGATCCTCACCGACTGGTTGGTGCGCCGCCAGGGTTCAGGGTCGGCTAAACGAAGCACTGTGGAAAAACAATATACATATATATATATATATATATATAGATCCCGCATATCCGGCATAATTAGTAACATACTATTGCTCAGGATGCCTGGCTACCACTCTAGTTCACTATAGATAACCCCTATAGAATAACATACCCTAAAACCCTACTCTCTCTTGAAGGCCACCCTTTTTTTGCTTTTCGCTTCCGCGCTAGGAGATGGAGAAGCCACACGACCTGGTGAGCTTCATTTGCAAGGTGGGAGCGAAATTTTAGAGATGCAATCCGGAACTGGTCGCCCATGACGGTGCCTGATCTCACGAGCTGCGGTTTCACATTTAAGGAGAAAGCCCAGACATGGAAAATCCAAAACTCTACTTCTTCAGCGCAGCCAAGGGTAGCCTTGCTAAAGTAGTTTCGGATCCCTCATGTCGCAGACCAACGTCTGTGCGACTTCAAAGCCGGCTAGCATACGGCACCCAGGTCTCATTCCCCAAGCCCGTGCTATACTAATAACCTTGAGTTCCGAAGCCCAATGCACCCTAAACCCTTAACCCTAAACCCATTATTATACAAACCCAAAGCCTGCTCTTGGACCCGTCAGAGAGCTCTCCAGGCCTCCGGCGCAACGGCCGGCCCAGCCGCCACGGCACTCGCTCCCAAAAGGGCGCGGCGGCCGAAGGCCAAAAAGGGCGGCCAGGCACCGCGGAAAGAGCCTAGTATTGAAGCCTTGAAAACACATGTTCATGCATATGTATATGTATCTGTATGTGTATCTGTATCTGTATATGTGCATGTGTATGTGTGTATGTATGTAT